CAGAAAAGATGTGCATGTCTCAGCCAGCTCTGAAATACCCGGCATCTACTTGGCTCTCTGCAGCCCCTCCACTGACCCGTGGCCTCCTCCCCACTGAGCATAGCTTCACTAGTATGTGTTCAGTGAAGGCTTTGAGGTTATAGCTTTTGCCTATTTAGGAGCTCCTTGAAAAATCCAACAGCGCGAACTAGGCCGGGGCTGGAAACCACTGGCACAAACTTGTAGCCAGCCCAGAAGGCAAGTGCCACCTTGTGCCAATGGTAAACAGCTGAATGGAGGTTTGAATCCCACAGGTAAATAGTGTGGGCCTCGGCAGCCTGTATTTCAGGGAATGAATTCCCAGGCATCTTGTTTCTCCTGTTGATTCCTTTCTAGAAACTTATTTCAACCAGCCTGATTCTTTCCCGGCTGTAGATGTAGGCAGGCCTGCAGAAGTAATTAAATCTCACGGCCACGCATACTTCCCCAGTTGATGGGTGTCCACTGCCCTGTCTTCAGACTCCCTTCGGGAAAGAAATATCTCCTCCTTCTGATAATGAAGAAGATAGAGGGTAATGATCTCACTGGTTGCCTTTTCCTACTTTTTATCCAGAGCTGCTGCTTAGCCACTTGGATAACTTACTTAGCTTCTCTGAGCCTCAGGTTCCAACTCTATAGGGTGGGTGAAGGCATGATAATGGGCATAACACATAGTTAACTGAGTGTTCACTGTACTGGGCACTGTTCCTAGTGCTGTATATGTAATAACTGCTTTAATCCTCCAAACAACACTTTCTAACATCATCATCATCTTCATTTTGTACATGAGGAAACTGAGATGCAGGGCAGTTAATTGTCCAGGGTCAGCAGATGGGCAGCACCTGATCTGAGATTCAAACCCAGACACCCTGATCTGGAGTGTGCAGCTTAAGGGTTATATATTCTGCTCTGCGGGGTTGCCGTGAGGATTGAAATCAAGAGTATGTCTAAATCTTGTTCAGTCTTGTTCAATCTGTAGTATTTATTATTACTACCAATTAACTTATCACTATGTGGAAACATTACACTCTTGCCAAGATTCAACCTACCCATAGTACAGAGCAGTGAATGACTCCAATAGGGGATATTAATTTTACTGATATCTGTGTCCAGTTTTTATAAACTGAAAAAGCTGAAAACTTTGCAGAGTTTCTGGTTACAGTAATACCTACGATTCATTGAACACATACTATGGCAGACTGACATCAATTCATTTGTTCCCCATCACAGAACCCTATGATATATGCACTATTATAACTCAGTTTTAGAAGCAAAGAAGTTGAGGTTCAGCAAGGTTGGTTATCTTTCTAAGCTTACACAGCCAGGGATTAGAGGACATGAGCCTCAAACCCAAATCTCTCTGATTCTAGAGGCCAGGCTCTTCCCTCGGACACTGTGTAAGCTTTTTGGCTAAAATTTTACCTTAGGAATTCTAATTCAAAGGATTCCATTTAGCATCACCCTGATTTCTGCCTCGTGTTGCTAGACCTGTTTCGGAAGATTCTCTCTGATTTTCTTTATCAAAAGCAATAAAAAGAATACCTCACATATTGTTCCCAGAAAGTTTCTCCACATCCATATTTCTCTGAAATGGCCATTACAATTAACGTATGACATATGTGTGTGGCCTGCAGCCAGAGCTGTGGTTTAGCCTGCCTTCTGACAGCACCTAGATAATTCTCTGTGGCTGCATCTCATGGAGTGAAGTACATGAGGGCACGTGAAGCCAACATGCCACACTGCTATGGGGCCCAGTCAGGAGGGCCTGGGTCACTTTCCCCAAACGCTAAATCAGAATTGGGTCGTTTTCGAGGACTCTGCACACCTCCCTCTCCATGCTCCCTGGGAAAAAGCCCCCCAGACAAACAAGTAGGTGGATAAATAAAGAAAGAAACCGTCCAGCGTCATGGGAGGATTGTGCCGCTCCCGCGCCCCTGTTGAATAGAGACGCCTGCAGCCTCTCGGGTCCTGAACTGGCAATTCAGAACAGTTTGATTGCCCGCTTGATTGTTTGCGAGATAACTGCAAGATTGTCAGTGACAGGGTAATTTACTGAAGATTGCCATGTCAGACTCCATGCGAGGGGCTTGCTGGCATAAAGATGCGGCTCTCATGACTGACAGGCCACTGGGAGATTGAGGTGCCAATTTAAAGTTCACGGTGTTGTCGGAAAGCATGCAGCACCAGCAGCCCATAATCACGCAACATGATGAGGTCATTACAAGCATAACGTATGCTCACACTTAATAACCAATAGAACCCCAAATGCGCCATCTCCGGAGCAGGTAAATGTAAATATGTGCGAGGAAATCATTTCTATCCTTTTTTTCTTCTTTTTTTAGCATTTGCCATCTGCTATTGCTGATGTGTTTATAGGACATCTCCTGCCAGACAGGCCCTTAAATAAAAAGCCCTAGAATCGACAGAACAGTGGGGAAATTTGAGGTCCACACTTTTGAAGAAGTCACAAGTCCAGAACGAGTAGCAGATGAGCAGGGGTTGGGGAGGAAAGTGTTGAGTGCTTGATAGGAAAACTGTCCTGAGTTACTATTTGAGCCCGATGAGGTTCTCAAGCTGGTTATATGGAGGGGGTGGTAAATCGGATGGGGGGTAGGAGATGTTCCCAGCTTCAGGAGGGAAAGGCCACCAGACACAGATGGAACTTCTAATGGGAAGAGGCCAGCAGCCTTAAAGAAATCTATAGTGCTAATAGCAATGTGTTTCTTCTCACCTGAGAAGTTCCTGCATCTGCTGAGGGGAGTCCTGCCAACAAATCTCAGCGGGATAATTTTAAATCCAAAGTAGGCATTCCACGGTAGATTCCTTCTGTCTGGTGAAGGCAGTCCGTGGAAGGTGATGTTAAAGGCAGGGTGCTATGCAGTTTTGTTTGTTTTTTTTTTTTCTTGTCTTTTTCTTATTCTGCCAAGGGCTCTGGGATCCACTATACAATCTGAACATAGATCTGAGACTGTGCCGCAACATCATCCTGCTGCTGAGATACAGTTCTCTGGCCGTTTCTTGGGTCTGAGATTTGTGAGTCTCTGGAGAGTACCCAATTCAGCCAGCCCATCAGGCAGAGGTGTTTAGAGCCCTGACTTCGAAAGTCTCTAAATTTAAAGTGTGTGTGCCTGCTCACCCTCCTGTGTCTTCATTTCTAGGAAATTCTGTAAATCTAAATGTGTTACAAGGCACAGAAGCAACGTTTGCCCATGTGGAAAATGAGAGGCCAGTTTTAGTAATTTAAAGCCAAGCAAAACACACAACCTCCTAATTTGTTTGTTTGCTAAAAAGAAAGTAATGCATTAAAATAATTGTACATTAATTGCTAAATTACAGTGGAACTTTGGTGAAATTACATATTTCAATTTCATTAACAGAACCAAACGAAAAGGGTAATGCCAAAAAATCACATTGTAGTAAATTTAAAGCATGCAGGCAGGCCTCTGATTCAGTGTTCCAGTACATATGTTTGTCAAGTCACAGCCCAGGGTTTGAGTACATCTTTCTATGATGTTAATTATGGCCCCAAAGTACCTTGCTATCAAATCTGGGAGGTGCAAGCAAGTTATTCTCCAAGGCTTTCTCTCTACTGTGTGTTCACTCAATTCCCCGCAGAGTGAATAAGGATTGGCCAACTAATCCATTCTAATAGGGAATTCCAAGAAGCAAAGACTGCCCGAAACATTCTTCCCATGCTCATCCCTAACACACACGCGAAGAAGGGAAAACATTCATGTATTCATTCAACAAACCTTTGTTGAGTACCCAATTCCGAGGTTGGCATTGAGTAAGATGTGAATATAGAAATGAATAAGATTCTGTTTTTCTCTTCAAAGAGCTCATTTTCCAGACAGGAAGGCAAGCACACAGAGATAATTCTCGCACAAGGAAGTTGGCATTCACAAGGGTTTCTAAAACTTATTGTGCATTAAAATCACCTGAGAAGCATGTATAAAAGGCAGGTGCCAGGACCTGCTTCTGAATGCTCTCCCTGGGAAGCTCTGGGGTAGACCCTTGATTCTCCCCATGGGATTTTGATGCAGAACCAGTCTTTGAGAAACTCTGATTCAGGGATACACAGAGCAGGGCTGCCCTAACCTAACCAGAGGCATCACCAGGAAGCCTTCCTAGAAGAGGAGGACATACCTAGTCCGGGTCTTGGAGGATGAGTCATATCTGTTTCCCCCCACTGTACTGTCAGCTCCTTAAGAACAAACACCATCATTCTTCATCCTTTGTTCCATGTTTCATTTCCAGAACATGGATGGCACTCAAATATTTGTTGTATGGTAGATGAACGATAGGAATCAGCCCAGCAAAGGGATGGAGGGGCAGGGATCTAGGCAAGTAAATCAGGATGTTCAGAGTGCTACAGGTGTGCAGCAAGGTAGCACCAGAAGTGATTGGGTGAACTGAGAGCTTAATTTCTGGGTGCTCCAACTAAAGCCACTTCTCCACATTTCCCAGAAAATGTAGAACTCACCCCACCCAGTTGTCAAACTGGTCAGCAGTCTGAGAGGGAGCGGGGATGGGACATTTTTCTCCATTCAAGCAAGGCTAAAGGGATCCCACACATTTTGATTATTGGTGCACCCATTAGCACAGGCCCTGAAAACGAGCTATGGATAATTTTTTGTGCTATGCTGTTCAAAAGCAAAATGTTTGTTTTTGTTTCCAACCACTCAAATAATACTTGCTCATAACCGAAAAAGTAGAAATCGTAGAAAAGTCTAATAAAGAAAGGAGCGACACACGCTCATCTACTACCTGGGGATAATCATTTGTCCACATTTTCGATTATTTCCTCTCGGTCTTTTCTTTTCAATGCATATGTGCTGGAATTAAACTAGACCCATTGTGTGAGACCTGCCATTTCAAGCCCTTGGGAAGGGCTGACGCTCTTCCTGACCAAGGTGCGAGCATCTCTCAGCAGCTTTGTGCCATGAAATGCCCTGACCCTGGCTCTGCCTCTGCCCTTCCAGATGGCCTGGTGGATTGCCTGGACCCTGACTGCTGCCTGCAGTCGGCCTGTCAGAATAGCCTGCTCTGCCGAGGGTCCCGGGACCCCCTGGACATCATTCAGCAGGGCCAGACAGACTCGCCTGCAGTGAAATCCTTCTACGACCGCATCAAGCTCTTGGCAGGCAAAGACAGCACCCACATCATCCCTGGAGACAACCCCTTCAATAGCAGGTGGGCACCCTTCTGTCTGTACAGGCTGCCGAGGTGGCTGGGTTCCTTCCTGGTAGAGCGGGAGGAAGGGCTCCTGGTTTCGCTGTGGGCCTAGTTGGCTTAGAAACTACCCCATGAGGGCAGCTCCTCTCTCTGGTTCACAGAGGGCCCTTTCCTCTCTGTGTGACTTGGCCACCTTCAACCCAGAAGCTGCTGGAGACATCTGTGGATGGTCTGGTTTTCAGATTATTTTTATAATCTATTATTTTATGATATTGTTGTTGTTATTTTATCTCTCTTTATAAAATACCTCTGATAGAGCCTTTTGTCTGATCATCACTGAAATATTTCATTCAATAGAGTATTTTTGAAAGCAGTTATTAACTGAATAACATTAATTAGGATGTATTGAGCACCTCTGATGAGCCAGAGACTTTATGTAGACCATCTCTGATCCTCCTGGCAACCCCATCAATTGCACCTGCTGTTGGCCTGTTTTGGGCAAGATGTCATGCTGGAGCATTTTATCTCTCTTTCCAAAATGATGGGGTTTTTCTTGAGTTTACTTTTGCTCTCAGTAGCTAATCTGAAGCAATTCTGGGGCAAATTCTGGGTTTATTTTATAGTCAGCTTGGCCCCTCCCTTCCTCCCAAGACAAGTTAGAACTGTACCCCTGGAGAGGAGAGCAAGGGAAGAGTTAGCTTTGAGGAGTGCCATCCCCTTCTCCCTCCTAGACACTGTTTCTGATTCTGGGGGTGACAGGAAGGACAGAGGCAGGGGTCTTCTTATGGCCCTCCTGCCTATCACAGATCTCTCTCGGTGGGTCTGGCTCCAGATGTTGATGGTGTCCGCAGATGTGAGGATGGCAGGTGTGCTCTTCTTGGGGTTGCCTTGCTCATCTCGGTGCTCCTTCCCATGCAGAGATAAGAGCTGTTGACTGGGTCCTCTCTCATGAAACCTCTAGGAACCATGACCTTAAGTGGTGGGCTTTGGGGAAGAAACAGCATCAGGCCACGACTCAGACTCTGCTCCTCCCCCTTGGAAGAGTCTGGCGAAGGTGGGATGAGGAGGTGGGAGGTAATGGCACAGCTGATTACTTCCAGAGCCCCTAGGAACTCTCTGGGAAGCTGTGCAGCCCCAATTCTCGGCAGCAATTTGAATATTAGGGCTCCTAACATGGTCACTTCAGGCCAGCAACATTAGCCTCTCGCCTGTTCTTGCTTTCCTAAAAATAAAACAGAAAAGAAAAAACAATCTCGGCCCTCTCCTGTTTCAGCCCTGACACCCCTCTAGCCTGTGCCCCATTAGGCAAGTTATTTAACCTCATAAACTTTATGTTCTTGATTGATAAAATTAGAATAATATTATAGAGCATACTCACACAGTTATATTATCACTTTAATACAAGAACCCCTCAAAAATAAAAGAAACCACAAATCTTTGGCCACAAAAGTATTTGGTTGTTAAATCCTAGTTCTGGGGCAGGGATTCTATAGATATGTTTCCCTTTAATTATGAACATAATTCCTGTTGCCAACGAGTCACGAATGGCCCTTGCACCAGGCTGGAAGCATTTCAGTAGGGTTTGCATGCAGTTTGCTCGTACAATAAATGCATCTTCGAAGGCCCCTGCTCTGTTCAGCTTCCTGTTAACATTTCATCTTTTCCACCCTAAATCCAGTAATTTCCCGATACTCTCCTTTTTGTCCCTTAAAATTCAGTCTTCTCTTCCTCATCAAAGTTACCACTTCCAGAAGGCACCTTGAGCTACAGCCAAGATGCAGGAGAGGAGGCAGGGACTCCAGAATATTTGGTGGGCTAGACCAGCCCCAGAGATCTGGGCAAAAGAAACTTCTTCAGAGAAAGCTTCTCTGGAGCTTTGAAAGTCACAATAGATAGCACCACTCACATGAGCCCACACCCCATGTCGGCAAGGATACATAATTCAGAAATACAAAATATTACTCTAAGACATAGGTTGAAGTTCACCAAGCATGTGAATTTTAGTGCATTATCCTCTGACAGAAAAATGAAGGAGAAAGCTAGGAGTAAAAAAGAAGTTAATTCAAGACTTCTAAGAAGGCATTTCCCCGAGATAATGGCATACAAAAATCACTAAAATGCCTTGACTCCACCACTATAATTTATAGAGCAGATCTCACTATCGAGATAATGTGGTAATTGTTACACATCAATAATCATAAATAGAAATGAACTGATAGCATGTCTTAGCTGAGTCTTTTCTGTGAATTGTCTGCCTAGAAACGATATGAAGCCAGCAACAATGAAGAATTGGGAAAATAAAGGGTAGGAAGCCTAGGCAACCAGGCCCCTTTTATTTCTGTGATGCTCTGGAAAGTCTTATGCTATAGGAATGACTTAAAAGCAATAGCAGTGGTACAAAAAAAGAGGG